GGCCGCCTGCTCGCGCTCACCCGGCCGTGGCGCCCTGCTGCGCCACGCTAGGCCTTCTTGCACTTGCCCTTTTTCTCCCGCTGCTGGAATTTGCGCAGCCGCCGTGCCCACGTGTCCCGCCACTGGATCACCAGGCTGCTCTTATCTGCCACGATGCCACTCTGGTCAGGCGAGTCCTCAGCGTTGCCCAGCAGCAGGTACTTCTTGAGGGGCTTGATTTTGGGGCACTTGCAGGCGATATCACGGGAGCGGATCCACAAGCTCTGGTCACCTCGGCGGATGCGGCTTGTGCCCTGCTTGTACACGGAGATGATGTTGACCGTGAACTTCCACCAGTCCCCTGCCTTGTCTGCCTTCAGAATGTGGATCTGGACGGCTGCAAGGAAGCACAGGCCAGCAGGTAGGCCCCCAGCCCCAGGGGCCAGGTGGGCCCTACCCTGCTCCTCCCTCTCTTGAGGGCCTGGGGCAAAGGAAAAGGATACCGGAGCAGGCAGTGACTGCTGAAGGTACCCAAGAGGCAGGAGGTGAATAGGAACAAGGGTAATTCGGAGCCACCCCTGCTGAGACCTGGGCCAAGGCCAGGATAAGAAGCCCCACCTTCTGCTTATTTTGAAGATGCCACCCAACACTCCTTTTCAAACAGGCTGCCTTTTGGCTTTTTAAAGATCCACTGTCCATTGAGGCCTGGGGAAACCTACAGAAATGACCACCTTCCCACCCCCAAGGCAGGTGCCAAGACAGCAGTGCTGGCCACTTCTCACAGGCTGCAGAAGGGACCCTCCTTGATGTCTGCACCTCCCAAATCCTTCACTGGACACCGAGCCTCGTGACACAGACACTCAGGCCTGATCTTGACCTACGGTCAGTACCCACGTGTGAAGGACAACTTGCCTTCAGGGAGGCCCCAGTGCCTCTTCTGAAGTCCCAGATCCTTGTTCCTCCTGCCCCACACACCTGAACTGTCAGGTCCCTGCCAGGCTGCCTCGCTCTGAGCCTCCCAGGTTCCCCACGCCACCTTGTCCTGATTCCCTGTCAGCATCTTCCTGGCCCAAACTGAAGCATTCCTCAGAATCCCCCGGAGGCTTCTGCAAACACACCGTGGGGCCACCCCAGGGTTTCTGATTCAGTGTAACTATGGCGGGCCCAGAGCATCCATTTCTCACACACTGTCTGGGTGCTGATGCTGCTGACCCGTCAGCCGTGGAGGATCCAGTGCACAGTAACAGACACTACTGTATCTCTGCAGGACAGACGGGCGTTCTAAAAATGAGGAAATGCTTAAAAAAGGGGTGGGGACTTTGTTTAACCTAGTGCTTCACAAACCTATCTGACCAAAATCAACTCCTGCAGAACTTTTCAGGACTTAATCTATGAATCGTGTGTGTTACATTGGTTTCCCAAGCCCTTCAGTGAGGTCACCAGAGCCTCATAGGGCCTACCTGGGAAACGGCTTCCACTAGTGCTGTGGGTTCTTGGAAAATGCCTCAGTGCACTCACCTCCGCTCACATCCTCACTGTCAGAGGGGCCTGCCTTGCTGAGTCACCCGCCACACCCCGTACCCTTCATCCCACTGAGCAGAGCAGTGCCCTGTGGACCTGAGGATTCCCCTCGACACCAAGTACAACTGAACCCCCCTGAGAAACAGGAAGGAAGCAGCTTTAAGAAACAGACACAGGCGGGCTCAGTGGCTCAGGCAGCCATCACACCCCCACGTACAGCCCTAGGCATGGGCCCAACTAGAGCCCTGCCTGCCCTCCTGCACTGTCTGGCTTCTCTCTCCCTGAACTATGCGGTGCTAGGGATGGAACCCAGGGCCTTGCATGTGCTAGGCAAGTGTTCTACCACTGAGTCACACCCCCAGCCCGGTGGCTTGTCTCTAGGGGCCACTCTGCCAGCTTCACTTCCAGGGGACCACCCCATCCCCTCCTGCATCCGCACTGGCCCAGGGTGACAGGAGGGGCAGAGACTGTAGGGTCCCAGGGTGCACTCAACACAGTCAAACCATCCTCCTAAGGAAGGGATGGGGCAGACTTTCCCATATTTTCATTTCAGCTATTCCTGGGCATCCTGAACTTTGCACTCCAGTCTGAGAGCACCAAAGAATGGCTGCCATGGCAACCGTTTCCATGTTTTTGTCACTAAGGGACTCAACACTCAGTGTGAACTCTGAGGGGTGGGGGCAGGGAGCCCTCCAGTCCAGAGAAGTGGCTGGGCTGTGTGTATTTGACTGTGCAGAAGGAGGTCACCGTAGCAACTGAGTGCCCTTCAGCAGTGCAGTGGGGGAGCCACTCTCAGGGTATCGCTGAGAGCCCATTTCCTCTCCCCAAGACTGAGCTGAACACAGGATGGGCCTCCCTCAGGCCACGGCCATTCCCCTACATGGCACCTCAGACCTCTGGTCCAGCCAGCAGAGGTGGGCCAGCCTCCCCAGGCTGCTGTGGAGCCACCGCTGTCTGGGGCCCCTGGAAGATGCAGCTTTGATCCCAGCCCTGAGCACTGATTGGTGCTGTGGGCTGAACCCCCACCCCCACACACCACATTCACTCACTGAGGCCCTAACCTGTACTTTAGAGAGTGACTGTATTGAAGTAATGATGAGGTCCTGAGAGAGGGCCCTCATCCAATCCGGCTGGTGCCCTTATAAAAAGGAGATTAGGACACAGACATCCAGGACAACCACTTGAAAACACAGAGGAGAACCTATCTACAAGCCAAGGTGTGAGGTTGTGCATGAAACCAGGTCTACGCCTTGATTTCAGACCGCGAGGCCCCACAACTGTGAAAAAATAAATTTTGATTTTTGATGTCGCACAGCCTATGGTACCTTGTCTGGCAGCTCGAGAAACTGGACTTGAGGCAGCTTGGAGGGCATGCTGCTGGGATCTTTCAACTTGGCTGAGCTGGTCAAAGTAAAGGCTGGCTGGAAAAGGCCTAGCCTCAGACTAATGCCCCAGGGGACCCACCAGAACACAGCCCTTCATGGCAGAAGTCTACCCTCACCCCAGGCTTCTCTCCCCTCAGTGAATGCCTCACAAAACCCACAGGGCACGAGAAGCAGCCCCTCCCCCCACAGCCTGAAGGGACCTGCCGAGGATGAAGCACTGAAGACCCCCTAGACACCTCTGTCTTCAAGAATCCACAGGAACAAAGCAATGGACACTGGTCGGTTGGGACAAAGCAGCCGGCTACCACCCCGCTGGCTTAACAAAGCAATGGACACTGGTCGGTTGGGACAAAGCAGCCGGCTACCACACCCCGCTGGCTCTAATAACTCCCAAGGTGGGAGCATCCTGGCCATAGGGTGAGAGAGAGTCCAGGAGCCTGGAGGAGGGTAGTTCAAGGATTCATGTGATTATGCTGGAAAAACTCCACATTTCCGCTGCCCTTGGCAACACCTCCACGCATTACACAGCCCACCAAGTATGAAGCTACACACGCGGCACACATGCCAGGTCCCTGCAGTGCGCATAGAGCTGAAAATATGCACGGTACACATTTCACCAGTGACCTCGAGCAGACCTGCTCCGGCTCAGGAAATGTGCTCTCTGGCAGCGAGTGGCACACCACAGGGACATCGCCTCCTCTCACTGCTGCTGGCTCTGAACAGGGAATGCCAAAGGTCTCTGGACTACACGCCACTCAGGGGACCCACCAACCCAGATGTGCCTGTTAGGTCCTCAAGCAGGGGCACTGAGCAGCGTGAGCTGTAGGAAGCACTGCCCCTTCCTAGGACCATGGCCCCCAAGGACGCTGCTCTTCTGTGTCCCTCCTGGTGTCCTATGTAGGAAGCTAATACACAGTGAGGAAGGACTAAAAGGTGAGTCTTTGGGATGTGACCAAGTCAGAAGGGATCCACCCCACAAACACGATTGTTGCCGTTTGGCCTTCTCATCATGTGAGGCCATGGCAACAAGGTGACATCTGTGAGGTAGAGATGAGCCCTCAGCAGACAATCTCCAGGCACCTCGCTCTTGGACTTCCCTCTGTCTGAAACTATAAGCGATATGTTTCTGTGGCTTACGAATTACCCAGTCTAAAGTGTCCTGTTATAACATACAGAATAGACGAAGACACACCCGATCTAAAGCAACTCAGGGCTGTGGATTTAGCTCAGCGGTTCTGCTGCCTGCCTTGCAAGCACAAGGTCCTGGGTTTGATCCCCCCAGTACCAATTAAAAACAAATTTACTTTTAAAGATGGTTACAATAGATTGCAACCTTAAGAAAAGGAAGTTGAAAATCGTGAAACTGTATGATTTCATACAAAACATGGCATCTGTCTCGAGCAGCTGTGGCCCCTCTCTCAGCCCAGCTCTGCAGACAGCCTAAGGTGGCGTTACTAAGGACTGACTCTCTGCTAACATACCCCACTGCCTACTAAATGTGTCAGAGATCATACCTGCATGCACATCAGTACTGATATATTAATGGCACCTTTTGGTTTGTAAGTTTATAGGTATATTTCTTGCTTATATTTTTACAATGAACATGTATTATTTTTGCAATGAAAAAAATAAAAAAGAACTTAAAAAAAAAATCCAAAGCAACTCAACCCAGGCCTCAGCCCTTAGGATACCTAAATCCTCCCTATCTTTATGCTAACATCCTAAACATCTTCGGTAAGGCCAAAACATGGGCTCTGATGAGGATCCCCAACTGGATTCAGAAGGACAAACTGGAAAGTCAGACCTGGGAGATGAGAGGTCCCTTGCATTTGAGACTGCTAGTCAAAAGGAGGAAGGTCCCAGTCTGGAGGCAGAGTGGCCCTTATCTGAAACGGACACAGGCGTCAACAAGGCAGTTGCTGGTGCTTCTGGCCCACCCTAAGTGAGAAGTGGCTCCACCTCGGGGTCTGCACTGCAAACCCATCCTCCCTTCCTCTGAGTCCTTGCTCAGAAAATGAGGGCCCAGCATGAGTGATTCCCGCAAGCAAGGTAGGGTGCTTGTCCCTCAGGCTCTGAACCAGAGAATGTTCTTGGTGTAAACAAAATCAGGAACCTGGAACCTTCAAGGCTGACAGATTGAGCAAAGCCCCAGGACAAAGCATGGAGAGTATCACAGCCTCCCAAGAGCTCAGGAGGTGGCCTCCAGGATCCCAGGTCTAGGGCTCTGGCTAGGCTCTGTCTCCAAGCTTTTGTTTCTCAGATGCCTCCTCACATCATTATAGTCAACTCCCCTTTCCTGTATCAGCTGCCAAACCTTGCAACTGCCCTATGCCCAGCAATTCTAGGGTTTACAGGAAGGGCTGTCACAGAAGGAATGCTCAGCCACCAGGGCAAGGCAAGCCCCGAGGACGGACGTCTCTGGCCCTAATTGGAGCCTTCTGCCTTGGCAGAGGCCTTGCTATAGGTCCCAGAGTGAGGAAGCCAAAGTCAG